TTGGCCACAGTTACTGTGAACCAGACTTCACTGCCAACGAGCACAGCAAAGCCCACAACTTTCATGTGGCTCCTGGTCAGCTTTTGAGGTGTCTGAATTTGGAGCAGAAGCTAAAGGAGACTGAGCAGAGAAAGAAGCTCAGTCTGAGCTTTTCAGTGAGAATTAAGAATCTTTTCTGTCATCAGAAGATTTATAGGCAGCAGGACTGGGATCCACTTCAGAGGCAGAAACCCACCCTACAGCACAATCACCAGCCAGGTGACCCTGTGCTGGAGGAACACTGACACCAACCAGCAACAAGCACTCAATGTTCCATTTCCATCTACAAAATAAAATACACCTGAGTGGAGGAAAAATGAAAAGCAAGAGGTGTTTCTCTTCAGTACTACTGAAATCAGTTCTATGATTGAGCAGCAAATCAGTCTGAACTCAGCACTCAGTAATAAAACTGAGGGTAGGAAAAGATACGTGTCAAACTTAATCAAACTAATATCAGCATGTTTTAATAAATTAAATCATACATGCATTTTATCATCCTGCTATTTCCAAAGATATCACTGCTGATTTATAAGGAACACCATGGGAATTTCATGTACTGTAGATAAACACCTGCACAAACCACATTCCTGTGGTAACTAAAAATCCAGTCAGCTCTTCCATTACCAGCATTCCCTTACAGGGTAAGGGATCCAAACCATCCAGGGAATGCCATATTCTGCACAAACATGACCTGATCCAGCTGCACTCCCTGATTTCAGTGCAGACAAACATTCAGGTTCTCCAGTTTGTCAGCAATTACTTGCCCAAAAAAACAATTACTTGTCCAACAAACCATTGCACTGTAAATTTCAGATCAATTGTTTAAGCATTAAAACTACAACATCAGGTCAACTGACACAGAAAAAATAAACATAAGTGTAAAATAAATAAACAAAACCTTTAAACCAGTCAAGTAGGGCAGAATATGGCAATTAAAAGCTTCTAACTACTAAGATTAAAGACTGGAATTGCTGGTTTGTATTGAAGTCCAACTGCAATCACATCAGGACACGCTTTCATTTTTGATTGACTTTGGCTTCTAAGAGAATCGAGCAAGAAAAGCTTTGCAAACAGCAATACTTAAGTTTTAGAAGCTGAAAGGTAAATATTCACCTCCCAGAGAGGCTCCACCTGCAAGAACAGAAGTGGCACCACATGTTTGTCAGTCTCCCAGAAATGAAATCAAAAACAACCAGTGCATGACATGGAAACAACACACCTGAGATATCTCTACCGGCCTTAAAAAGACCCAAATACCTCCTGTCTGTACTACTGGGATGTATTTAATACAGACTATTAATATATAAACCAATTAACAGTTCATTTACTGCAGCAATGCTGCCCTGAGTACCTTCAGCAAGATGGGAAACAGGAAATCTGAATAACTCAAGGAGATAATTTAAAACCATTCTAGGAGCAAAGTGACAAGCTCAGCCTCCAGCAAGAATTTGATTTATCTGGTCACAGCAAAGAAAGGGCTGAACCTTCCCAAGACACAAAGTTAATCTTTCTATAAAAAGGCACAGTGAGACTGTTGTGAGCACAAGCACAAGCTCAGTTCACAGGACAGTTTAACTGCACAGATACCCAGAGGACTGGGAAATGCAGCTCATTCCCTAATCCCAAACCCCTCTGAGTAAAGAACTTGCCATTCAAGCTTCCACTGGTGGACACGGCGCTGTTCTGTTTCTGGTTGTCATAAGCTGGACCAATATTGGCAAGATCCTGCAGGAGATCAAACACTCTGCTGTACACACGTGGTCAAAGGGAACACTGAGCCTCAGCAGGGCACTGCAGGTGCTGGCACAGCTCGGGCTCACAGCAGAGACTGAGCAGAAAGGACCCCCACCCCCCTCTCAGCTCCCCACCTTCCTCCTGTCTCCCATCACATACCTGGTCTAGAAGCCCAAATTTGGGGTAATCTTCCTCTGGGTCTTTACTGCCTGGGTCTGGATGCTCTTTCACCAGGAACACGTCTCTTTCTTTACACTAAAACAAAGGAATTTTAGTTACACAGGGTAAGATGATACCAAATTCATGAACAAGTGTTTAAATTCCAGTAGTTTCTATTAATATGTATTAGGTACATCAGCATCTTCACCCTGCAGCTCCCAAGCCCAGCCCTCAGCACACACAGATGTCAAAAACCCAAAGCTGTGGGAATTCTTCCAGGGATTTACCCTCAATCCTTACCATGGTTTTGACAATATTATTGGGCCAAGTCATTTTCCCAGGCCTCTGCCGTGTTGTCATGCACTCCCAGTATTTGTCAATAAAGGGGATAATATCCTGCAGGAACAGACAGCATTTGTGTGAGCTCCTGCTCTTGCTGACAGCAGCAGTGCTGTGAGCCCAGGGTCCCAGAGAGCCAGACCTTGTCCTTGGAGAACATGGTTTTGGGGTGCTCGTCCTGTGTCCTGGACTGCCACGTCAGGTTGGCCAGAGCACTAAGGCACATCTCCTTCAGATCTGGGAAACAAAACACCCCAGGCCTGCAATTACACTTGGGGGTAAGATCAGACACAGTGGGCACCCTGAGAAACTGCCAAACCTCCCAAATTATCTCCTCACTCAGCCCCCCTGAACCAGCCCCAACACCTTCATAAATCAGCAGCAAAACATTTTTAGAAGAAGCCACATGTGGTTGTAAATATGGGATTTTGGCTCATTTTATGAAAGTCTCAGCAGAGCCCTCCCACTGATTCAGACAAAGCCAGCCCTGCAGGATGAAGGTGCACAGAACATCTCCCAGGGAGCTGTTTCCAAACTCACTTGCTTGCTTCCTCAGGAAGTAGGTGTTGCCACTGTGGTGGCACACGTTGCAGTGGAAGCTGTAGTTGGTCATGAAGGGCAGGCACGACCTAGGGAAAGGCAGCTTTGTCAGGGCTGGGTACAGTGGGATTATTGTATAAAGTTAAAGAATCCCAAAGTGAGTGCAGCCTGTGCCCAGTGCCCACCTTGTCCCCAGCCCAGAGCACTGAGTGCCACCTCCAGTGGCTCCCTGGGCACCTCCCCTTGTCCTGTCCCTGGAGCAGAGCCTCACCCCTCTGGCTGTCCCCTCCTGGCAGGAGCTGTGCAGAGCCACAAAACCCCCCCTGAGCCTCCGTTCCTCCAGGCTGAGCCCCTTCCCAGCTCCCTCAGCCTCTCCTGGAGCTCCAGCCCCTTCCCAGCTCCATTCCCTTCCCTGGGCACTCTCCAGCCCCTCAATGTTCTTCCTGGAGTGAAAGAAAATTATTTATTCTTTACTACACTGGGTTAAGAAACTAATTATTCCAGCTTAAAACCCAAGTATTCCTTCCCTCCCTAACACCACAGACACCTTACAGGCTCAGCAGCATTTCACGGGGGTGCCTTTATCATGGACAAAGCTTTATTTACACAACAGCAGTTGTGTAAATACCAGTTCCCAAGCGTTCAAGGCCACGGGCAGCTCCTCGGGAACTCAAGACTCCGAACACCCCCCTCTAAAGCCCCGTGCCGGCCCTGCCAGCCCCATCACCTACGTGGTGTCGATGCCGAAGGTGTCAGCTGTGAACCACTTGGTGCAGATGCCGCACTGCAGCTCGATCTCGCCCAGCTGCCGCGCGTTCTCCTCGTCCCCCGAGCCCCCCTGGGCATCCATGGCTTCGGCGCCGTCCCCGGCGGGGTCCTGGAGGCGGAGCAGAGGCAGGAATGCAGCAGGGGCTGGGGCAGCATTCTGCCACCACGGGAATAAATCCTTTCCCCTAACCCACGGCGTGCCGCCAGCAGGCTGGAGCTGTTTTGTACACTCCGCTGGTCAGGATGAGCCGCACGGCCGGAGATTTAACTTCCAAAAAACCCTTTAAGGAAGCAGCGCTGGCGCTAAGGGACTGCACCAACCCCGCCGTGCCCACGGCACCTACCAGCGGCTCCTTCCCGTTGGCCGACTCGGTCTCCAGGGCCGCGCTGGCATCCACCACGGCGGCGTCGCCCCTGCCAGGGCACAGAGATCAGAGCGGAGCCGGGGCCTGGCGGGACCCCGGGCCCGCCCGGGGAGGGAGGGACTGAGGGAGGGCCGCGAGCCCCATCCGCGTTCCCATGGTAACGCGGCCCGGGGAGCGCGGGGGTGCCGCGGGCCCGCCCAATGAGGGACATACCCGGTCTCGGCGTCGGTGTTGGGCGGCTCTGGCGGGGCCGGGGGCTCCGGGGCCGGGGGCGGCTCCGGGGGGGGCTCGGCGCCCTCAGCCGCCGCCGCCGCCGCCATGTTCGCGCCGCTGCCGCGAGAAGCGCGGAGATCTCGCGAGACTGGGCGCGCGGGGGGGGGGCCCCGCCGCGGCCGCGCGCGCCCCCTGCCTGCGGCCGCCGGGAGAGGCGTGACGTCACCCTGCACCGCCGTGACGTCACTCTTCACAGCCGTGACGTCACTCTGCTGGGCTGCCAGCAGCGGCACGAACCGGGAGCGGGTCCCGGTGCCCCGTGGGAGGCCCGAGCGCCTTTCCCCCCGGGAAGAATAAGTGTCGCCTCTCTGGGCAGGGGGGGACCCCCGTGGTAACCCCGCCCCGGAGATTGGGGGGTCAGGGGAGCGCCCGGTGCTGCTCCCCTCGCCAAGGAGCGGGGCAGGGTGGCTGGGCTGGGCTTGGATGTGCAGGGGACACTCGCCACCAGCAGTCCCGGGCTCTGGGGACAGCAGCGGCCTCACACAGCGCGGGGGTGGGCGCCCCCAACCCCCAGGAACAGAGACAGAGCGACAGAGGGACAGAGCGACAGAGGGGGTGGTGGGGACGAGCCCAGGAGGGACGGGGAGAAAGAGAAGAAGTGGAGGAATGCAGGGATGAGGCAGCGATGGATGGATGGCTGGCTGGTTGGATGGATGGGATGATGGATAAGGCTGGAGGCAGCGGGGGAAGGATGGGGAAAAGGAAAATCGGAGAAAGAGCAGGGCGGGGAACGAGGGCAATGGAAACGGGGAGGGATGGCCGGGAGGTGGAGGGGAGGGAGGACAGAGATAGGGACGGAGGGATGGGAAGAGGGACGGGGAGAAGAGGGGAGGGGGCTGTCGGGGAGGGGGGTGCCGGGGCGGCGCTCGGGGCCGCTGTACAAATAGGGCGGCTGCGGGTGGCCCGGGCAGACATGCGGGTCCCGCTGCGCTCCGTGCCCGCGCTGGCGCTCTGCGCCCTCGCCCTGCTCCGCCTGGGCTGCGCTCCGAGCCGGGCACTCACCTGGGCACCCACCGGAGCGTCCCCCCGGGCGCTCACCTGGGCACCCACCGGAGCGTCCCCCCGGGCGCTCACCTGGGCACCGGCCCGCGCCCCGCCGCGCTGTCCCCCGCTGATGCTGCAGCTGCTCCGCGCCCCTCCCGCCCCGCTCCGCGCCGCCGCCGCCGCCGCTCTCAGCCTCTCCCCGCACGGTGAGTGGCGCCGCGGGCATCCCCGTCCCGGGACCGGCACTGTCCCCGAGCATCCCTGTCTTTGTGCCCGCGTTATTCCCAGCACCGGCACCGTTCCCGGGCATCCCTGTCCCGGGACTGCCGCTGTCCCCGAGCCTCCCTGTCCTGGGAGCAGCGCCATGCCCGGGACCGGCACTGTCCCCATGCACCCCTGCCCAGGGATCCCCTCTCTCCATCCCTGCCCTGCCGGAGGCTCTGGCTGGCTCTCAGCTGACCCAGCCGCTTTCTCCCGAGCCTCAGGCTCCCCGGCGGGGCTGGCTCCCGGCATCATGGGGTGCACCGTCCCCCCCAGCCCTGGCACCCCTGGCACCGCTCCCCTCACCGTGCCCTCGCCTTCCAGGCTCCCTGCAGAACGGCTCCCGCTGGGCGCTCTCCTTCGACATGTCCTCGCTGTCCAGCAGCCAGGAGGTGAGCCTGGCTCAGCTCCGCGTCCGCCTGCCCGGCCTCTCCCGCTCCCGCAACGTCTCCCTGGACATCTACCACAGCCAGCGCCGCAGGTGCCGGCCGCACGGGGCCTGCGCCCACCAGCTCTTCCTGGGCACCGTGGCTGGCATTCCCTCCGCCGCCCAGGCTTCTTGGAAAGTGTTTGAGGTCACCAACCTGCTGCGGGCCTGGCTGCACCAAGCGGCGCTGGGCGCGCACCCCGCGGGTGCGGGGCAGTGGGAGCTGAGCGCTGCCCCCACCACGCCGGGACACGGCGCCCACGGGGACCCAGCCCTGCCCCAGGACGTGGCCGACAGCGTCCTGCTGCTCGTCTTCTCCAAGGACAAGTCTCCCGGGGAGCACAGCCTGATCAGGACGGCGGAGACCTCCAAGTACATCATGCGCGACAGCGGCGCGCAGGGCGCGGGGGCGCGGCGGCAGCGCAGGAACAGGAGGGACCGGCAGAGGATCAAAGCCGCGGCCGCCCCGAGGGAGCAGGGCCGCTCCCTGTGCCGCAGGGTGGACATGGTGGTGGATTTCGAGCAGACGGGCTGGGGCGGCTGGATCGTCTACCCCAAGAAGTACAACGCGTACCGCTGCGAGGGGCTGTGCCCCTCGCCCGTGGACGAGACCTTCAAGCCCACCAACCACGCCTACATCCAGGTAAGAGGGGCGCTGCCCCGGCCTCCCCCGCGCCCCCCAGCCCGGCAAGGAGGTGTTCTGCCCTTCTGTGTCTCCCTCTGCAGAGTTTGCTGCAGCTCTACAAGCCCAACCAGGTGCCGTGCCCCGCCTGCTCCCCGGTCAAGATGAGCCCCCTCTCCATGCTCTACTACGAGAGGGGCGAGGTCGTGGTCCGCCACCACGAGGACATGATCGTCGAGGAGTGTGGCTGCAACTGAGGCTGAGCTCTGCCCCGCCAGGAAGGTGCAAATCTGTGCCCAGAAGGACCCAGCAGCACAGGGCAGGGTGTCTCTGAAGCCCTGCGGGCTGGCACAGCCCTGGCTGGACCTGGGGAGGAGCGGGTGCCCGGCAGCCCTGCTGCACTGCACGGCCACAGAGCCTGGCTGGATCCAGGCTGCAGGTGGGAAAGGCCACCAGGCACCTCTCTGTGGCACCAGGGGCAGCTCTGGGGTGGTGGTGCCCCGTGCTGTGCTTCCCAAGGAGCTGGAGGGTGCTGTGTGTGGGACGGAGGCAGGGCTGGGGCAGGGCAGCTGCTCCCTGCCACCACACGGCTCAGGCAACGGGAATTCCCAGCCGTGGGAATCATCAAGGAGCCACGGGTTCTCAGGGCCCTGGCCATGCTGAGCACACACACCACGGGGATTTTCAATCTCTTCTGGAGTTCAGGCGCTTCTCCTAAAAATTCTGTTATATTTCTATTAAAACTGTCAGATTTCTATTGCAACTCAGACAAGTGAATGTGTTAGCCAATGTCCAGAGCCCCAGCTGGCAGATCCATGGGGGCAGCTGTCACAGAGGAGTAACCACAGCTCTGCTCAAACCTTTTCCCCCTCGTTGGATGGGCTGGTAGTGAAAAGGTCACAGCTGTACAACTCATCAATAAATTATATATATTAAAAATGTCCATTGGGTTCTGCTGATTTTTGCTGTTGATGGCACGAGGGTGTGAGTGTCCCCTTCTCTGTGTCCCATCTGCTGCACCCAGAGCTCCTCCCTGCCCTGGCTGCAGCCTGCTCCGTGAGCAGGTGGGTTCTGCCTGCTCCTGAAACACCAGAGCAAGGAGTCCCTCCAACCCTGCAAGAGATGCTGGAAAGCTCCAAAGCTCACACGAGATACGGAGGAAGCTGCTCCCACCCTGATGAGAGGTTCCTCAAGAGCAAGGGAGTCACCTGCAGGGGTGGCAGGGGAGGCTGGAGGGATTTTCCTCCTTTATTCACCCCTCGGAGATCAGGGAATGGCCGTGCCCTCTGAGAGCAGTGAATCCTAAGTGTGCAGCTCCTTTGGGTCGCCATGCGGAGGAGCTGGGGCTGGGGGCGATGCCGGGGTCCTGAATGGCCTGGGGTCACCGTGTCCCCCTGCATGGCAGCCCTGGGGTCACCGTGTCCCCCTGCATGGCAGCCCTGGTGTCACAGTGTCCTTCTGCATGGCAGCCCCGGTGTCACCGTGTCCTCCTGTATGGCAGCCCTGGGGTCACCGTGTCCCCCTGCATGGCAGCCCCGGTGTCACCATGTCCCCCCTCATGGCAGCCCTGGTGTCACTGTGTCCTTCATGGCAGCCCTGGGGTCACCGTGTCCTTCATGGCAGCCCTGGGGTCACCATGGTCCTTCTGTATGGCAGCCCTGGGGTCACCATGTCCCCCCACATGGCAGCTCCGGGGTCACTGTGTCCCCCTGCCTGGCAGCCCCGGTGTCACCATGTACCCCCACATGGCAGCCCCGGTGTCACCGTGTCCTTCATGGCAGCCCCGGTGTCACCGTGTCCCCCTGTATGGCAGCCCCGGTGTCACTGGGTCACCATGTCCCCCCACATGGCAGCTCCGGGGTAACTGTGTCCTTCTGCCTGGCAGCCCCGGTGTCACCGTGTCCCCCTTCATGACAGCCCTGGGGTCACCGTGTCCCCCTGTATGGCAGCCCTGGTGTCACCATGTCCCCCCGGGCAGGGGGACCAGCCCGGCTTTGGGGGAGCCGGGGACACGGGGGACACGACACACGCGTGGGGACCCGCCGGCCACCCCCAGGCAGCCGAGGGGGACGCGCGGGACCCCAGGCGAGCAGCGGGGCTGGCGGCGGGTGGCCCTGGGACAGCGGCCACCCCCACCCCGCCCCTCCTGGGAGCAGCGGCCCCGACTCCACATCCCAGCCCGGGCTGATTATCCGCAATCCACATCCCGGGCGGCGGATAAACAAAGCGTGTCTGCTGCTCCCCCGCCGCAGCGGGCCCTCCGCGGGGCCGCTTCCATATTCCTGCAGCTTTCACACTGCCACCATCCCGTCATTAGAGGGTCATTTGCAGGAGCTGTCAAGGCTGGGCCGGGGGCGCGGGGCTGACCCCCGGCAGGAGGCAAAGCAGGAACCTGCCCGTCTGTGCTCTGCGTGATGGAAAATTACAGTGTTTTGCCTCTTTCGCCGCAGTTTTGTTACTGAGACTCACGGAGGGTTCCAAAGCAGGAGGATTCACGCCCCAAACGACCCTCAGGGACCCCTGTCCCGCCGGGGCTGTATCTCTGCCATCAGTGTCCCTCTGCCAGGGGCTGTATCTCAACCATCTCTGCTCCCCTTCCCGGTGCTGTATCTGTCTCTGCCATCTCTGCCCCTTTCCCGGTGCTGTATTTTTGCCATCTCTGCCCCTCTCCTCGGTGCTGTATCTCTCTCTGACATCTCTGCCCCTTTCCCACTGCTGTTTCTGTCTCTGCCATCTCTGCCCCTCTCCCCGGTGCTGTATCTCAACCATCTCTGCCCTTTCCTGGTGCTGTATTTTTGCCATCTCTGCCCCCCTTTCCCGGTGCTGTATTTTTGCCACCTCTGCCCCTCTCCCCGGTGCTGTATCTCCCTCTGCCATCTCTGCCCCTCCGTCACGCCTGCCTGGAATCCAGCCGCGGGTTCAAAAGTTGTGGCGGGGCAGGGGGAGGCAGAGGCCGTTGGCTGGGAAGAGCCGGGTGGAAAAATAAAGGCTGGGATTCCAGGGCTGTAAGGAAAACATCAAAGTGTGGATAATGACAATAAAGTCGGGTTTAGGCAAGGATCTGTCAGGCTCGACCTGACCTGAGCAGGGAGAGCTCTGGCCCTGCTCCTGCCCCAATCTACATCGGCTGGGGGACGCAGGAGCCCAGACACGGGGACAATAAAGTGGGGGGACAGCCCCCGTCCTGCCCACGACCCTTCAGCATCCCAGGGCTGGGGGAGCTGGCAGGTTCCTGCTCTGGGAAGGGCTGGCTCGGCCAGGGGGACAGCAGGCACAGATTGCTTTGGACACAGAGAGAGTGAGAACAAACAGACTGAGGGTGGTATTTGTACAAATGGTGCATTAAAGCACGAGCTGGGTCGGGCAGGTGGTGTTTGTCCCTTGATGGGGACACAGGGACATGGGGCAGGACACAGGGACACCCGGTTGAGACAAAAAGGGGCTGGGATGGGAAATGCAAGGACAAAGCCAACTTGTCACTGGACCTCCCCGGAGCATCCCAGCTGTGCCTCAGCCACCCACGACTGCCTCCCTCCCTCCCACAGTGCACAACTGGGCTCAGCCCGTGAAAAAACACAAGGTGGGTGAGGAGCAGAGCCTGGGGAAGCAGAGATGTGCCCTGGAATGCTGAGCTGCTCCTGGCAGGGCTCGGGGCAAAGCTTGGAGAGCTGTAAACGTGAGTGCACGAGGGAGATGGATCCGAAAGGGCCTGGCTGAAGGATGCAGCAGCTGGGGCTGGGAGGGGGAAGGGAGGGAGTGAAGGACCAGAGCAAGGGGATGCTGAGACCACTTGGCCCCACACCGCGGCTGGAAAGGTTTAAGGAATGGGCTCGGGACAAATTGCAGCAGAGCAGATGTGCACATCACCTCACATCCCGGCTCTCTCTGCCCCCACGATGAGCCCATGGCCCCGGGGCCTGCACCCAGAGCCCAGCAGGACCCCGGTCACACCTGGCCAGGTGTTTCACAGGCTGTCCTCCCTCCCTCTGGATTATCGGTGTGCGGGCACCTGGCGCTTTGATGCTCCCACATCTGCATAAGCGGCAGATACCGATGCAAAGCTGCCAAAGCTGCCGGGACACAAAGCATTAACACCTCCAGCACGTGTTACCTCTCCTGCAGGTGGCAGGAATGGCATTTAAGAGCACTACCTGCAATACCTGGCACCCCCAAAAACCAGGCAGCCCCTTCTGTACCAAAGCCCAGCACCACAAGGCTCCTGCTCCAAAAGCCATGGTTGGTCAAGGCTGAAATCAGCTCATTGCTCCCCAAAACTGCCTGGATGTGCAGCTTGGGATGGCACCTTGGGGATCCCAAAATTACCTGGACATGCACCTTGGGATGGCACCTCAGGCATCCCAAAACTGCCTGGATGTGCAGCTTGGGATGGCACCTCAGGGATCCCAAAACTGCCTGGATGTGCAGCTTGGGATAGCACCTCAGGGATGCCAAAATTACCTGGATATGAAGCTTGGGATGACATGTCAGGGATCCCAAAATTACCTGGATGTGCAGCTTGGGATGGACCTCAGGGATCCCAAAATTACCTGGATGTGCAGCTTGGGATGGCACCTTGGGGATCCCAAAAGTGCCTGGATGTGCAGCTTGGGATGGCAACTCAGGGATCCCAGGGCCACACAGGGTCACCAGCATCATGTGTCACTCCAAATCCTGTCCTGGGTGACACAGGGACACAGCCCAGGTCAGGGAGGGTGACACCCAGTCCTGCTCGGGTCCCTGTGCAGGAAACCTGCTCTCCATCCATCCAGCCCTTCCCAGTAAACCCAGAGCAGAGCAGGAATTCCTCATTTTGGTTGGGGCAGCAGGAGAAGCCCCAGCACAAGCACAGGGACTCATCCCTGCAGAGCCTGTCAGGGCTATTTCAGTCTTTCCCTCAATAGGGGAACTTTGGGGAAATTACCATCAACACGGGAAGTTTTCCTAAACCAAAAACTGCAGCTGCTCCACAGCAATGCCATTTTAAACCAAAACCACCAATTTAGAACAGAAAGTCAGTCCCAGCTGCAGCAGCTCCTCTCTAAACCATCCTCAGAACCTAACTGGTGCAGCTGAGGCCGATAAAGTCACACCTGAGGGCAATAAATTTGGATTTGTTCCCATTAAGGTTTCAGAGAAACCCTTAAATCTTATCTCAGAGAAATGCAGGTTTATCTGCAGCAATTGCTTTGTTCTGTTACTCATTATTGAGGGTTTGCATATCATAATGTCACCACTGGGCATCATTAGCAGATATTTA